AAAGTTTGGTTAACTATTATAAACATGCTGGATTTTGGATTAAAAGGGCATATTTTTGAGGGATACTGGTACTGACTGGGGTGTAGGCTGAACCCTGAGCGTTTGATTCCCGGCAAGACGGTTTTTTGTTTGCCACTTCTGGGGCACGCCCATCCATTGGGTACTGGGTTCTTGCATTCAGTTTTTGATTTTCTAGTCAGTAATAACAGTTGGAGCACCATTCTTAAATGACATGTTATGGGATTATTGGAGGTTACCCCACTTTTGCCTTTTAATTTCCTTTTATCAGTGTTCACATCGTGAGAGTGTCATCCTTACATGATATATTTTATACCCTCAAAACTAAATAGTTCTTGGTCTCCCTGAGTCGGTTTCCTGAACGTTGTATTGGCAAGCCTGTATGGTACTAGTTGGAATTTACTTGAACACCGAAAATGGCTGACGACGGTGATCTTCTAGACCGTGCAGATACAGAATCTCAAAAGTCTGATAAAATGTTTTCTCTAAAGAAGTGGAATGCTGTTGCTATGTGGAGCTGGGACGTTGAATGTGATACATGCGCAATTTGCAGAGTCCAAGTCATGGGTAAGTGTTCCATTTTTATATCGTGTATGTGGATTTTAGGGTTATGGTTGCTTTGTGGTTGGCTGTATGCAACAATTTTACATCATATTTTCGTAACAATTGGAATTAAGCAACCACTGATGGTGTGAACGAAATATTGTTTTGTTTCTGTTGCTGTTCGGGTGTTTATAAGAGATGGTATTAATGTATACTAAAGGACGAGTGATTAGCACTTGGGAGGTCCCGGATTCATATGTTGGCCTGAAGACTGACGATCTTGACAGGTTAATAAATCTTTCCAGGCATATGCCATGAGAGGTTATCTTTTCATCTGTCTCTTCCAGATTTTTATAAGGGCTTACAGCCCACCCCTCCCCCAGACATTCACTCTGAAGATGACAGGAGCAGTGTTTGCCAGAATATTAGAATACCTTATATAATGAACATTGCTTGTTTTCAAAAGCTGAAGTTATACGTTAAACTAAACAAACTCCGAAGATGGCTGTCTTCTGGGTTGCGCCGTGTAGTCTGGTAGTAGTTTACCGACGTTTCAGAGGTCTTTGCTGCCTCCATCATCAGGGCGATGAGTAAGCCACGCGAGTGGAAACGGTTAGAGTTATACGAAACTGACAGTCGGGGAAGAGCCTTGGCCCATCCAGTGGGGACTGGTGTCAGAATCAGACGAGGGCTTGGGAGCGTTCTGCAGCATGAGAGAGAGAGGTTTGAGAAAGCGGGCCCTCAGAGTCCGGCCGATTGATCTCCGGACATACGGGAGGTGGGTGGATGTGATGGGGAGGAAGCAGGGGAGTAGAAATGAGGTCTGGGCAGGGCCGGATGTGTCCTGAAAAGGGCAGTATAGTGGCTTAGTGGTCCAGGTGGGACTGGCAGTGCTCTATGGGATGCTTCCTAAAGAAACTCCTGCCACAAATACCTAAAGACAAGAAAGCCACTGCATTATGATTACAATTTAATTGATTTCTTTAGCGATATGATTCAGCACAAACTACTGTTGGCTTTAGTTGAGTGAGCACTGTTAACTAGTTATTGAACATAAGCTGGTTTACTAGACCGATGGCTCTCCAGGTGTTTTCCTTCTGTCTGTTAATCCGTCTCTTAGTTTCAAAGTGTATGCCATATACACCAGTGCCATTGTGCAGAAGACAACAGTTTAATTACAGATGAAATGTAATATCATCATTCATCTTTTGTTCGTATATGCTCTTCACACATTGCTGTTTGAGTGTGTAAAATATTGACAGTCTTAGCCACTGTAAAGTTATTAACCAACCAATAATCCCCTTCTCCAGCCCAAAGTTTTTGTGATGATTGTGAAGGGTAAAGTGGGAATTAATATAACTTTTAATATATGTTTAGGTCTTTATATGTTCGTTAGCAATTACCACAATGAAATGGTCACACAGGTACTGAAACATGTTTCATAAAATATTTTAAAATTATTCCAGTTGTATAAATAAATTTTCTCTCACATACATCAACAGTCATATCATTCAGTCATCATTAAATATACACATAGCCTCTCATGTGGCATAAACAATAACATTATTCATTCACATACCTGACACTTTTCCTTTAATTAATTAATATTATCACAATTTTGTGCTTGAATGTTTGACTCCGTGTAAGGTGTCAGTATATCCAGTAAGGTCTCAAGGTCTCATTTATGCTGTAGTCAATTTGAAAGTAATCAGTGGCAGATACATTTTTAGTCTGTCTGATAGTGTCACAAATTTAACTTGGTTCTGAAACTGATTTGTACTGAGCTGTGTGTCTTTTGTCAGAATAAAGATATTTGTGTATAAAATATTGCGAGCGTCAATTATCAGGTAAATTAGGCTGAATTTCTGGAACCATACTCATAAATTAATAATGTTTGCCACGGTGGTCTAGCGGTCAGAACACTAGCCTTGTAAGCCTGGGGTCCCGGGTTCAATTCCCGGCGGTGCCCGAATTTATAACTTGTGTTGGGCAAGGCCGTGGTCTAGGCATCACGGAGTTTTCCTCCGTGGCATCCCAACAATTACTCCACTCACACACAGAAGAAGGCAATGGCAAACCACTTCTGGATCATCTGCCAAGAACGTATATGAACAGGTCCCAGTCCGAGAAAAGGATGGAAGGATCCTGTTCATAATATATGGACCTGTCATCAGACAGAACACTACAAATAAAAAAAAATTAGCACATAAAACTGTCCTTCAGATGTCTTTTGAGGTTGTTAGGAAACAAATTAATATGAAAATTGGGGTCAAGAATATGTGTGTGTTGTTAAGGTATGATACCTGTTTGTGGAATGCTTGATTTGAAAGCCACTGACTACTGTACAGAATTTTGTCAAAGATATTTATGTTTTTGTGGCATATTTACAAATTTAAAATGTAAAATTATTGTTCTATAAGCCTTTACTTTGAAACAGTCTTCACATGGAATGAAACCTCACACTAATATCGTATGTCAAAATACATATTTCTTATATGTTCACGTAACAGTAACCATAAAAATTGGAATGTTCAGCTTAATTCAATATTTTTTAATTAAATATCTAATTCTAGTTCTATATTATTAATTATTCATTATACAAAATAAAGTTCCAAACAGGAAGGTAAATTATTTGTTTAAAATTTGCCTGTCACACGAGTAAATTCTCGTTGTCATTTACAGCATTCGCTATGTATTATGACAAAATCTAATACGAAAAATATGCAGTATTTTAATATTTGGTATAGATGCTATATAATAATGTATATTAATGATCATAAAAATCATGACCATTCTTTTTTTTGGACTATACTATATTTACAAAGTTTGTTTTATAAAAACAGACTTTCACGTCAGTAACCCTTTGAAGCCGAAGCTCATCAAAGTATTATTTAAAGATTCAGTTCCTACGACAAAGAAAACATGATACTTCTGTACCGCAAAAATCAGTTAGCTAATGCTATTTTGAGGAAGTAATCACTTAGATTCATATAAAAGCCATAAATATACTCTGTGGGCAAATTACAGAGTTACTGAAGGTTAAAGTAGGTGGTACCACTGGGCTTTAAAGGGTTAAAGTATTACATAGTGATATGTGTGATATGTACTATATACCGATAGAGGAATCAGCATTTGAGTATCACCGTCATCATCGAGTAAAATTATAAATATGCTTAATTAACGTGTCTTTTGTGGAGATTCTTGTGAACAGCCTTCATAAAAAACACCGCTGACCTCATATTCCGCACTGGATGAATCAGACATGACAGTGAAGATAATGCAAGTCTTGCTTGGAATTTTCTTGGTCCTGTATTTGAGTCTTTCACTTCTCTAGGCTCCACATTCTTCAAGGACCATTATTGTACATGGTGCAGTATTATGGTATTATTGCGTGAACCTTAGACTGCCATGGGTAGAGGTCTGAGATTAGCGATAGAGCTCATTCTTCGTACTTGCCCAGTCAGGTTCTTTTCAATGTCTTCAAGACTCTTCCCTTGTGTTTCTGGTACCCAAATAATAACAAAGAATAGCCCGGCCAGGCAGTTGGCCCCAAACATCCAAAACGTAGTTGCACCACCCAGTTTAGTGATAAGGTCCGCAAAGGTCTTCGTGACGACAAATGTACAGGTCCAGTTGAATACGGTGACGATTG